GTGTCGTATCTACGCGTTCTCGCTATATCTGCGTTAGCATCCACTCACGCATATGCATCGAACGCTGCTTACCCTTTTGCGCCATATAAATATTCCAGAACCACGTCGCCAGAATCGCGGCCTGCGTCCACACCGCGTTCGGTGCATCTTTAACCAGATCCTGCGCGAAATCTTGGAATAAAGTCGATTCTAACATCCATCTCTTCACCTTCTCCGCGCTGACATTACTAAAGCTCCGACTCTTATCTCCGCTCCATTCCAGGTAGTGCGTGATCAAGAACATGAGCATGTGGTAGGACAGTGTCGCGAAGCTGATCGAAGCGAGGAACGCGTAGATCTTGATGTGACGCGCTCGCGCCGCTTTTGCTGCATTGAGCTTCTCATCTTTTGACGAGCTGACGGCATTGAATATGGCCGTGTATTGAGCGTAGAGCGAGTAGCTGATCTTGATAGTCGCGTAGAGTGCTGCGACGATGTAGGAGAGGAAGATGGTGGTGCCGATGTAGCTATTGGGTGGTGTGGCGTAATACACCAGCGCGTCGTACCCAGGGATTTCCATCTTGTGTGTTGAGCCTGTTGAGATATTATTGTTGTAAGAGTAACATATGAGCAATTAATGGGCGACGTATATATCATCGTGGTCAGACGCGAGGTTTCAAAAGTGTGCGATGATGCCTGACGTCATGACACAGTTGGTGTCTGAGAAATCGGGCGACGCGACACTTCGGCGTCTTTCTCCTCCGTCAACCCACACGCGCGACATCACAAAATGCTGTTGCAGGCGTTTATCTTCGCGCGCTGTCCTGGAATCATTGCTTCAGACATCTCTCGCGTAGCCTAATGGATGCGCCGGGCCGCCCCTCAAAATCCAGGATGCCTGAATAGTTCGGGTAGCCGTGGAGGCAGCTACAACGCAGCACAAACTACTAAACCAATGATTCCACGCATCATGTAGCCATCCGGGTGTGGGATACGACTCATTCTGCGAGCTTTGAAACTCTGGAGTGGTCGAATAAAACAAGTACTACCTAGGTAGCTATAAGGTATTTACCAAAAGAGAAGCGCTCACCAATGGGAACAACGTCAAACGAGGTACGGGGCTCTCAACACCATAGTCCGGACCCTTTGATGGTACGGCCCCCGCAGTTTGTGACTCATGAGCTCGAAGTTCGGCACGACCATGATAATCACGTGCTGTGTCCATTGGGGGCCTATCATACCTCAGCGGTAGGAAATTCCCACCCAGGGTTGTAACAGGCAGCAGCCAGCCGGTCAAGTATATCAGGAGCGTGCGCGCTGTTTCTCGAGACACCCCAACAACTTTTCCTGTTATCTGAATCCTCGAACAAGAACAACAACGATGAGCCACCTGTGCGGTTGTTACATCTCCCATCCCGGAACGCGGGAGCGAACATACCTCCCCCGAATTAAAGTTGACGCTCACACGACGATCATCTCCACGGCCGCCCGCACTACCCTGACGCAGACCTTCGTGAACCGGTCCAAGGAGTCATTGGATCAGATCCGATATGCCTTTCCGTTGTTCGATGGCGTCAGCGTTGTCGACTTCTTCTGCCAGATCGGCGAGCGTACCATCTACGGCTTAGTCAAGGAGAAGAACGAAGCCAAGAATACCTACGAAAAGGCCAAGGAGAGAGGCGAAGCCGCAGCGCTGCTCGAACGACTAGATGAGGCGACGGATGTCTTCTCAACTGCTATTAGCAACATTCCCGGAGGCGCATCTGTGCATGTGTCCATCAAATACATCCAAGAGCTTAAGCACGATGCCGAAGTCGATGGAATTCGTCTTACCATGCCTGCGTCCATCTCACCCCGTTACGGATCCTATCCCGGAAAGCTCCAAGAGACATCGGCCGAGATTGATTCGAAAGGCATCTCCATTACCGTGGATGTCAAGATGGCAGCAGGTATTCCTGTAAAGAAGGTCATCTCGCCGTCACATCCCATCGAAGTAACGCTTGGGTCGCTCTCAACAAGTACCATCGATGAGGACGCCTTGCTCTCGCAAGGTTCAGCAACGCTTTCCCTAGGTACCACAGGCCTGGACAAGGACTTTGTGTTACAGGTGGTTGCAAAGGATGTCGGCGTACCTCAGGCGATCCTGGAGACCCACCCAACGCTCCCCAATCAGCGAGCATTGATGACCACACTGGTACCGAAGTTCAACCTCAAGTCGCAAAAGCCCGAGATCATCTTCATTGCGGATCGATCGGGTAGCATGGGCGATCAGATCCCCACACTGGTGTCGGCACTCAAGGTCTTCTTGAAATCGATCCCTATCGGCTGCATGTTCAACATCTGTTCATTCGGTAGCAGCCACTCCTTTCTTTGGAAACAGAGTCAGTTGTATGGCCAAGATACACTGGAGGAGGCCATTCGACATGTAGAAGCGTTCAGGGCCGATTTTGGCGGGACCGAGACACTCCATGCGGTCAAGGCTTGTTTCGAAGCTCGCAACACCGAAATCCCTACCGAGCTCATGCTACTTACCGATGGCGACATTTGGGCTCAAGACCAGCTGTTCGACTACGTCTCCAAGAACACGAAGAATGGCAACGTCCGTGTCTTCCCCATCGGTATAGGAGGAGGTGTGTCTAGTGCGCTCATTGAAGGCGTCGCGAGGGCCGGAAGAGGCTTCGCTCAGATGGTTGCAAACAACGAAAAGCTTGATAGCAAGATTGTGCGCATGCTGAAGGGTGCACTCACCCCTCATATCCAGAATTACCGTCTCGAAGTCAAATACGAAAATGACAGCGTCGAGTCTGTTACCGACAACCTTCGTATCAACCTTCACCTGGACAACGATAACGACGAAGAGCAAACGAAAGCCCCAGACGTCGACGCGAAGCCCATCTCGCTCTACGATCCGGCCGTAGTAGAAGAGCATCCCAAGGACGGCGAGTCAAAGGACATCTTCGCGGGTCTTCCGGAGCTAAAGCGCCCAACGCTTTTGCAGACACCCCACGAGATACCAGCGCTCTTTCCGTTCAACCGTACCTGTGTCTATCTCCTCATGTCTCCAGAGTCATCACACCTGCAACCAAAGAGTGTTGTTCTCAAGGGCACCTCACCCCAAGGCCCATTGGAGCTAGAGATTCCAGTAGAAGTACGCAAAGAGGCCGACGAGATGATTCACCAGCTTGCTGCCTGCAAAGCAACACAGGAGCTCGAAGAGGGTCATGGATGGCTATCCGAGGCTACCGTTGGCGATACTGACGTCCTGCTTAAGAACAAATATAGCTCTCAGTATCTGTTGCTTCAGAGACGCGAGGCTGTCCGTCTTGGAGTGGAGTTCCAGGTCGGCGGCAAGTTCTGTTCCTTCGTAGCCGTAGAGTCTAACGAGACCGAAATCGCCGAGAAACGCCAAAAAGCTCTGGAATCGACAGTGAAACGGACTGATCTAGCGGATGACGATGACTGGGAGGTCCTGGAGCATGGCCAAGCATGCAGATCACCGGTAGCCGCTTCTTGTGGTGGCGATACACGATTTGCCAGTGGACCTGCATCTGCGTCGGCGAGGTCTGGATCCTTCGCTACGTTCCGTGGAAGCTACGGCGGCGGTCCCTTTGGCCGTACTGGCGGCGGGAAAGGCGGGCGAGGCGGCGGGGGCGGACAAGGCGGACAGGGCGGGCACTTCCAAGCTAGAAGGATGGCTGCTGGCCCTGCACTATTTGGTATGAATAGCGCAGTGGAAGATTCCGACTCAGACGAAGACATGGGCTTTGCATGTTTGGAGAAAGCCAGTGCAGCACCCATGGCTCATCCTGGCCAACCGTCAGCGCTGCGCACGTTATCTCCCGCGCAAGTATTGCAATCAACGGGTCGGTCGGGTTCGAAACGGTCGAGCCGGTCGGCCATGGGTCCCTCCTTCTCTCCGCCACAAAGGCAGAAAGTACAGGAAGAGACTGGCACCCTCCTCCAGCGCCTCATCGCGCGGCAGTCCTTTGAAGGGTCATGGGAAGCTATCGATAAGCTTCCGTTCGATGAGATGAAACTCGACCGTGACGCCGCTAGCCTAGCTACCGCTCAACTCAGCGAGCCAAACTCCGAGCAGCTTCTGGCTACTGCAGTCGTAGTCCTGTTTCTGGAGAAGAAGATGCAGGACGAGGAGGAAACTTGGGAATTGGTTGTTGAAAAGGCGCGCGCTTGGCTTGCAAGCCAGGTGGCTGAGGATGTGCTTGTTCGGGTGTGGCAGTTGGCTGAGGGTGTTGTTGCGAAGACTTCAACAACACCTCAGAACATACACAAACGTTGGGTTGACTAAATTTTGAGATCTTATAGTTATGTAGGCTGCAGGCCTGTTTAGTTTCTTGTCATACAAAGTAAGTCTTGTTGAGGCAACGTGCTATTGCTCTGGCTGTCAGCACTGTAGCTAAGCTTGCAATAGAAGCATACTCCATCGATTTCATTACATCTGATTCGCTACTACACTTCAATTTATCGATGTCTCCTCTCGCCCTTTGTGAACCATCAACGTGGAGCTAGACATGATATCTCGCGACCCATCCTCTGTATATGCCGCATAGCGTCTTCGCAGCTTTGCATTCCATTCTTCCCCCAACATGTTGGCCCATCTTTCTGGTATTACGGGCACCGCCAGCGCGATGAGATACATCCCAATGCGCGCGAAGTAATTGTCACGTAGTTCTCGATAAGTCGCTGCGCAGTGCTCCATGTTCAGTGCGAGAACGATGAGGGGAATGGATACGCTGAGAGAAATGCCGACTGTGAGGATGCATTAGCGGGAGGAGCCTTGACGACAACGCCAACGGGGAAAAGCCACTTACATAATAGACCGGTAACAATACCAAGCGGCCAGTTGGTCTCTCCAGTGGTTTCATCTTTGGGGAAAGCGGCAATGCCGATCGCAAAAAAGGATGACATGAAGGACAAAGGAAGGAACACTATGGTCACAATTGTGAATACCAAGATTGTCTGTAGATTGTAAGCTGCGCACAACAAGAAGATATGGAAATTTCCTACATTTCCTTGTTTACTCGCGGCAACTGTGGTTTCGCGAGCTTCTCGTGCTTCCCAGGCATTCGCTGCCTTTTGTTTGAGATCCATCAAAGTGTTGATCTGTTATGAATTAGCTCTGTTCCGCTCTTCGCAATGTCCGCCATACCTTCTCTTGTATCGTGCGGCTGTGACCTTCAAGCTTCTTGAAGTCATCTATGTCGGCTTTGATGAGATCCTCTGCAGCTGAAGAACCCAAGAAGGTGAACCCTTCCGCCTTCCGTCGCTGCTCGATGACCGTCCGTTGTATGTCTAGTACTGAGAGAATGATGTTGATCTCATCGAGGATGTCTTTTATCTCAACCAAGAGCTTCACTTCCTCGCGGATGTCGAGAAGATCGACGAGAAGTTTATTCTTTCTTTCTTCGTAGTACTTGTTGGTCGCTTTGAGCTGCATAAGATGTGTAGATCCGCGTTGGAAGGATCGAAAGAGCCGACTCTCCTTGTCGTCCTTCGAAAGTCAGCCTTAGTAAGCAGAGCATTATTTCCCGAACTTACTATCGTTCCAACACTCTCTTCGAACATCTGGAAAAAGCGGAGCGGCTCCGCGTCTAGTAGCCTATCAAAAACACTGCAGCAGGTCTCCAATATGCGTGAAGTGAGATCTTCCGGTTTACGGATGGGATGTCGTTTTCGATGGGTCGGATCTAAGACCAGTAGTCTAAGATCGTCCATAACGCGGTGGGCATGCTGACCCGTACCTGTTCTGCTTGGGAAGCAAGATATGACGTAGTGATCCTGGGGTTCTTCGTCCAGTTTACTTCCGTTGTTCACACCCATCTGCTCACGGTTCGTCCGGATCTCAGATACCTTGTCTTGAGCTTTATATGGAGACGGTTTCTGATGAGTGGACCAAAGCCAAAGCTGATCGACCATGAGAATATTGTGCCGAGCCTCGGACTTCATGTTTTGTGCCCATCGAGACACGACCTGGTCGATGTCGCGCTCTTTCGTGTTGTCAAGCATATGGTAATAGTACTGGTCCAACGTCCTTCACCATTAGAAGATAGACTCAAGAAAAAGAGTAGCAACTTACCGTCGGATATGCAGAGCTGGAGGGTCATGTAGGTATGCGGTGACCAATGCCTTCTCTTCTTCTTCCAAATCATCAGGATCGTCCACATCATAGGTGTCTGAAAAGTCGGAGTCATAATCGTCGGAGGATGGCTTTAAGGGCAGATTGTGTGTGACAGGCACTTGTAGAAGTTCGGGTTCTTTTGACGATAGTTTGTGCGACATATTGCGCAGCGCTTCCATTGTCACCGATCCCGGTATGTTCGCATCGGTGGTATTTTGTAGTGAGTGCTCTTGGTCGACCTCATGAACATATTCCGTACGTCTTTCGTGTCGCACGTTGGCTTCATAGCTCAGGAAAGGGATCTAAGCACATCAGCACCATTCATCGAAAAGCTATGATGCGAAGCATACAAAGATTGAATGATGGTCACTCGTCCCGATATGAGGTGTTATGGCTCGCTGTATCATTCAGTAAACGTGGGAACAGCTACACACGTAACGCACGTTGCGCAAAGATCCTGTAACAGATCTCCTCGTTTCCTGCCATATTGCAGGATGTAGGCCTAGCTTCGAAAACAGATCCTGACCTGAGTCAGCGCAAGGAATCGGAATTGGCACGCTACATACCTCGACCCAAACCATCTGTGATATGTCAGCGATATGCAAGAGGATTTCAGATGGGCTGTGAACCTACGTTGTTTTCTGGAACATGCACCCAAGTACAGACTGGTACTTTCGCGGCAACCTCTTTGGGTCTCACCTGCCCAAGGATGTCTTTCAAAGAGGTGCTTCCGTACAAGAGCGCTTCGACAGAAATGTTCACACTCCAATGCTTGTCGCTAGATTTTGACACATACACTTCCGTGACCGTAACTTGATAATTCTTGCAGGCTAATTTACCCTCTTTCGAAGTGGGTGATCGACCATTACCAATCCTCTGGGCACTGGGACGATGATCTGGTCCTTTCACCACGCGACTGCGCAACATTTTCGCTATGTGCCTACGAGATTTATGTCTCTCAGCAAGGGCTTTTGGTGTTCGCTTGTGTGTGTTTTCCACTGCAATATCTGCGCCATGGTGCAACAAAGCCGTGATGATCGTCTCCTTTCCGTTGCGGACTGCGTGATGGAGTGGTGTATTCAGCTGGCTGTCACGTACGTTGACATCTAGCCCGTCGACGTTGAGAAGGCTGTGAACAAGTTTCTCATGATTGAGTCGTACGGCGATCTGAAGTGGCGTTTGTTGCCTGTTTGACATGATCAGTCATAACTCAAAATGCACCTCATGGAGTGCAGCTGGCACACTGATATGTCCCAGAGAACACACTTTGTAGCACGGTACAAGGTCGCACTATTTCGACTTGAAAACTCCAGAAGCTAAGAAAGACCTGCATACTTACAGCCTGTCACGCAGATTGGGGTTGACACCCTCTTTGAGTAGGGCGTCTACCTCCCTTGAGTTGTTATCGATGGACGCTCGCAGAAGACCAAATAATTGGACATTGGCTTTCATTAGCATTGTCAATCGCATGAAGTCCACGTCGTCGGAAGCGGCGAATTTGAGCACATGTGCAGCATCCCGGGAGAACATCAAGGTACGGGCCGGAATGCCCAAGAGTTCGCTGATTGAGCCCTGACCAGTCCCTTGATCATCTCGGGAGTGAATCTGTGTTATTGGAAACCCGATCGCAATATTCTTGAGGCTTGATGGGCCCTGGTTCCCACGTGATGGAGCTCTAGACGCGTCTTGTTGCCCTTGTCGTGAAGATACTAAGCTAGCTTTAGCCTTCTCGCGCATCTGGCTCATGGAAGTACTGCCAAGAAGGTCATTGAGAACCTTCCCACCGGGTTTCACTCCATGGATCTTAGTAAACGATCGCGCACATATTTCAGGATTAGAAAGTGGAGAAGAGAAGAGAAACACCCCCGCGGTGTGGGGTAAGACATTCGAGGCTAAGGCATGGTCAGATGAAAGTGATGCTAGCGCATGCAGTATGATCAAACAGCCAAATGAGTGACCAAGAAACACAATTGGTGCTTGACGGTGTTCTCGCAGTTGACACAGACGCTCATGGAGTTGCTGCGCTGCTGCCTCGAAATCAGGTACGGTAGAGAGCATCGAAGACAAGTCAAAGCCAACAGTGATAGCCCGGCTGCCAGGCACCCGTTTCCGCAGCATGTTCTCATCCTGTAACCAGCTCACGGGTCGAGGCTTGACGCTCTCGAAGGGAATGCGGTTCGGGGTGTTTGTGAAAATGGTCGGCAAAACTTGATGATGCATTTTTCCAATATCTGTTCGTGCACGGCGGATCGGCTGCGTTGGGGCGTTGCTAGGGCTTTCCGTGTGAGGTTGGGCTTGATGTCGGAAAGCGTCTAGGTCAATATCGGCGTCCGTAGACGTGTCGCACAAGCCGGAGTTGTATAGATAGACTACCACAATATCGACGAGGTGCCCGCTCTCTGGCCAAGGCGAACACCGTGAACGCATCTTCCAACCACCTTTCGGGCCCGCGTCGATGCGACTCCATGGCTGTGGTGTTGGGTGGACCTTTGGCTTCGCGAACGCGTTCAAATTTGGCTCCCTGGTGAGGTCTTGTACGGAGACATTACTAAAGCTATGTCGCCGTAGACGGATAGCGGGCCTCAGTGTATTCTCGAGATTATTCACCGGCGCAAAACGTGCCTCCTGCCCCAATGGAAGTGCTTTCTTCAACGATGGTTTCTCGGTGAATCTTGCAGACGCGTTGGATTCATCTGGCTGATGAACAACGATTTGGGGCACCGTATGGTCCGTCAGCAGCTCATCACCAACGTCAAGTTCCAGTTTGTCGTCCTCGTCTCTTGAAGAGGCGCCGCAGGTTGAGTCTAGCTCTTCCGGGCGAAAGAAATCGACCTGAGAAATTGGGTCGGCTTTGTATCTCTCTTCCCAATCTTCAAGAACCTTCCTCGCAGCATCCCCCCTCCCAGGGCTAGTTCCATATTGGCGATGGCCATCGTAGAACAAAGGTTCAAGATCGATGCGTGGTCTTCCCGGCGTGTTGAGCTCATCGTGCGATGTGACTATGATATCAGGAAAGTCGCCAATCTCATCTGATCCCCGGCTTGCTGGAGTCTCGTTAGCCCCGTTACAATTTGGGATGGACGCAATCTACTGGGTAATATTGCGCTATCTGAGCAACCCTTACCTGGATTATACTCCATGCTGACAGACATGTAGAGTGTACGCAGCTCGTGTCGTTGGAACGCGAAGCATTCTGCTAATACTCCCCGCGCCGTGCCGCTGCATGGAGAACAATTGGGGGCTGTTTTCTTGTTGCGTTACTGGACGACTGACGCCACAATCAAGCAGGATAGAGTGCGATCGGCGATCGGCGGGGCAGATCAGGTAATGAGAATGGCGAAGGGTCTCGCAGGATGAGACAGATTCACATGATGCGGAACGAGAAATCATCTGGATTTCAAGGTGTTCAGCGTTGAAGCCAAAGGGTGTCAAGGTGGGATGCGCTCGCCGGGCGGTTCCGACATCGGAACTCTTCATTCCGACGCTTCGGGCCGCACCTTTGGTTGCAGAAGCGCCGCCTCGTCACCACCATCGCAATCCACAAATACTAGAACAAGGATCGACTGCCGAGATATTATCAGGTACTCACCTGGAAAGCTTTCAGGCTAGGGTACTGTCTGCACCTACTGCAAAAGTCCGATATGCAGACGTACGCGCCATCTTTGCGTCACTGCCATCAGTACACCTGTCTCTCCTTGACGCTAATACCAACGCCCTTCATCGTGCACTGGAACCAACCACCAATCTCCGGCTTTCCCGTCACCTCAACATCACATTCCATAACCAACCGAGCCAGTGTTTTGACAACGAAGAACCTCGCGAGGTGCTGTCCAGGGCAGCTTCTACCTCCACCCCCGAATCCCATCCACATACTGTCCATCCTACCAATCTCTCTAATCTTATCCTCACTGCCACCAGATAGCCATCTATCTGGGTCAAAATCATGGGGATTCGCGAAGATCTCAGGATCGAAGTGTGACGCCCATAGGTTAGTCCCGACCGTAGTACCAGGTGGAAGATAGGTGTCGCATAGTGTAGCTCCTGAAGCAGGTACAAGGCGAGGAATGTACCATCCGAGCGTCGGCCAGATCCTCATGCTTTCTTTCATAATGGCGAGGAACAATGGTACCTTCTGGATCATTTCGGAATATTTGGTATTTTTTGAGATGCCCTGGCTTTCCATGTCTTTACGTAGGCGGGTGAGGATGGCTGGCGACCTGTATGTATGGTAAATGACCGAAGAAAGGGTGAACATGAGCGTGTCGTGTCCAGCGCCGAAGTTGGTAAGAGCTATCGAGAGAACCCATGAAGGAGGGAAACGTGCCTCCTTGCCATGATGCAGACGCATCAGAGTAGCCAGCATATCCGTCTCTTCAATGCCGTCCCCTTGTTGCTCCGATGTCTCCACATCTGTGCCTTGATCATGAAAGAGGCCCGGACGGTCCCCTGGAAACTTGACATCCCTCGTGCTTTCCAATGCTTTCAATCGTTGCATGATGTTCGGAGCAGAAAAGCTGAAGACGGGCCAGACCTTCGGTAGTCTAACACCCAGGAGTAAGCTAGCTGGTAGGACGAGCAACATGCCGACTTTCGGTATCGCATGCATCAGCTTTACGAAGCCTGGGAAGATACCAATAACGGTAAAGCACTGCCACAACGCATCACTGGCATCTCCGTTCCCTTCGTCACTGCCTTTCTCCGTGTATCCTGGTCGCTTGCCTAGAGTGAACTGGCTCATGGACTCCAAGGCGAAAATATGGGTCCATTCTGCCAGATCCACCTCTTTCCCTCCAAGCTCTTCCAGCCTGCCAACAAACTGATCGATGTAGGCATCAAGTAATCCCTCATGCTTTTCTAACCCCGCAATGCTGTAGGCCGGCCCGATAGCTCTTCTTTGCCTGCGATACTTCTCCATGTTGGTCTCTGTCAGCATATCGAGAACCTCCTCGGCGGGTTTCCGGCCTTTGTCAGGCGCGCCAGCAATGCGATACCAATCCCCTTTCGTGAACGACGTCGCTGCTCCATAAACGGTTTTGATGGCGTCTTCGTCACATACTAGGACTTGGTCGGGTGCTATGCGCACAATAGGTCCGTATCGCGCGTGTAGCTTGGGGAAGTGGACGTGCGATTGTCCTTTTCGGACGTGCCATGCGAGCCATAGTTTACTGAAGCGTGCGAGGAAGGGACCAGGAATGTTGCGTAACGGGTGAAAGAAGACTCTGTAAGTTGTTATATAGACAAAGTATGCTAATAACAAGGATAGCAATGAAGAGGCGGCGGAGAACATCTTTGCGTTCTACGAGCCCGTAGTGTAGCACGATATTCGCGGGGGGCTGCGACACTATATAGAGCTCGATAAGCATCAACGCAAGCTTCAGGACACCCACGCGATCCTTGTTCATTGATGAAAATCTTCCCTAATTACCAAGCAATTGTTGGAATACTGCCGGCGGTACCTCGCGATGGCAAGGTTGGTACTTGAATGGCCATACCGCTGGGCGCCTTGCGCAATTGCTCGCCTTACGCGGGGCTTGGAGATGACGACGCGAGCTGCGACGTGCAACGTTCTCTTATCGATCGTCACCTACTGTCCTAACTTGGCTGGGCGTAATGATCGTCATTGGAGCTGCCGTGGGTCTAGTACAACGTTGACGATGTGGTTCGGAGTGCGGACTGTGAAGGCTGCACTGAGATGTTGCTCCTGAGGTCGGGCTCAACCCGTATCCCGCTCTGAGACCTTTCCTCTTTTGGAATAGCGCGATTGTGTGCCAAATCGTGCCCGCGCCTTACAACTCGCACGAAAGATGCACCTTGATCAAACCTTGCTTCGATGCTGATACCCATACTATTTATTAGTGACCACACGGAAGCTTCAAAGCCTCTCAACTTAGTGTCGCGAAAGCGCCGTGAGGCAACGCCACCTCAGCCTTTCACTAGAATTCCCGTGCTTCCCTGCGAACTCACTAGGATCATACATTTGTGCAGAAAACGCCTTATCTGATACCATGCAAAGGTATTATCACTGCAATGAGTATCAGGCGCATGAACACTGGACCGACGTGGCGAACACTGAGTGGGCGGGGTAGGCTGTGTTGCCCTCCGTTGTTACACAGCATGGAAGCCTGGGCAGGTATCACCAGCAGCCCGTCCCGCCGCTATCATCCATACTCATGATAACCTTTGTTTCCCCTTCAAAGCAAAGCTCCAATGGCACCAAAGAAGAACCCCAAGTCCGCCTCGTCAGCATTCACATGTACTTCTTGTACAAAAGCATTCGCCAGTGCCATAGCCTTATCAGATCATTCTAGGTCTAAGCATGCGGTACCTACCACTGCGAGTGACAGCACTTCTATTTTGGAGGTGATCAATACTCCAAGCACAATATCTACGAAGAATGCCGAGTTCGCAGCCTCTCGTGTCGGGATAGCAACGACAATGGCTTGGACTACTCTCGCAACAGACCCTGAGTCTTCATGCCATATAAGGATACCTTCGTGGTCGAATGCCCAAGATGTGTTCTCCACGCCGCGACCATCCAAGCAAATTACATTCATCAAGGAGCGCACTCAGCAGAGAACCACACCACGATCGAAAGCTTCGAAACCACAAGTTCAGGGACCACCAGCCCCCAAAGCACCAGTACCTAAAACACAAGTACCCAAAACACAAGTATCCAAAACACAACTACCCAAAACACGAGTCCCCGACCTAAAAGCTTCCAATACAAAAGCTCCTCAACCAAAGGCTCCCCCTCCGAAAGCTCCCCAACCGAAAGCCACCACCCCAAAACTGCAAACTCCCAAGACACACCCAGTCCCAGACTGGACCGTCATCCCAGACAGCAAACAGCCCGCAGCACTTACCGCACTCAACCTACACTGCCACGCCCGACCAGTTCTCACAGCCAACGAACACAAATTCGGAACCACACTACCCATCCCTTACCAAACCAACCCGAAGCGCGCAGCCATATGCATCGACTGCGAGATGGTTGGCATAAACCCGAACAACACATCAGCTTTAGCCCGCATCTCGGTAATCGACTACCTCACTAATGAGATCCTCATCGATACGCTCGTCGAACCCACGCAACCTGTCACGGACTGGCGGACGAAATACAGTGGGATCACAAGACAGGCTATGGCGACTGCGGTGTCGCAGGGGAAAGCCCTTAGAGGATCATCTGAAGCACGCGCGGAGCTATTCAAGTACATCGATAGCGACACTATTCTTGTCGGACACGCTCTACAGCATGACCTGTCAGCCCTAGGCATCCGACACGACCGCATCGTCGATTCCGCAATCCTAGCCGCTGAAGCTGTAGGTCGGGGCGTGAAGAAGCGGTGGGGACTCAAAGACCTAGCCAGCCAACTCCTCGACATCAAGATCCAGGGTGGCGAGAAAGTAGGACATGATTCCGTTGAAGATGCTTTCGCAGCGAGGGAGGTAGTGTTGTGGTGTATTGAGCAGCCGAATAAGTTGAGAATGTGGGGGCAGAGGAAGAGGAAGGAGTACTACGGCGGCAAAAGCAAGAAGAATAGTGTCAAGAAGGGGGTTAGTTCGAGGGGGTTCCGTCCGTCGGCTTCGAGACCGGGGTGGTGTGGGCGCCTTGAGGATGATGAAGACGTGTTGACGTGGTCGGATGTAGCGGGGGATTGTGGGGATAGGAATTATGATCCCTGGTCGGACTAGACTGGTAGTAAGAGGCAGATCTCGCGTTGGGACGTAACGTTACGATCATTGTTGAGGATGCCAAGACAACTTTGATATGTCATGTCGCGTAATGAAAGACAGGACAGGGTACACGAGCTTACAAGATATATATTTCAAGCTCAGACGGCACCCATCGTCCAAGAAACGACACACGTTTTTATAATACACTTCCTTGAAAAGATACCAGTCCTAACAATGCCCATTATTCTCATCCATTTTCCCATTGAACATCGAAGGCGAACTGGAAGAAGAAGGAGAAGACGCCGATGCATGCCAATTAGTTTTGCCAGACTCGAAATGACTGAGAAACTTCGCACTCGCATTCGCACCGATTTCGCTCATGACCTCTGTGAGAAACCGGGATTAACAACATACTCGAAACGGGTAATGGGGTTACCTGTCTCCGAGCAGAGGTTGCGATTCGTGGCTGTCTCCAGCACCACCCTTCTTCTTCTTACCTCGCTTCTTCCTCTTCTTTTTGCTTGCGCCTTTGCCTCCGGCATGCGAAGACTCGGCTTCAGAATGCTTTTCGCCGTCTTGACCATCGACTTGACTGCCGTTCGCTTTCTCTTCCGAGTCGCTGGAGCTTGTGGTCTCCAAGACGATCTTCTTGATGCCATTGACATCGACAACGTTCTCAGAGATGCTACCGCTTCGAGCAGTGTGTCGCTTTTTCAAGGGACTGCGCGAACGCGAGCGCATCGAGCGCAGGGAAGCAATGGTGCTGACGGAGCGTGCCCGTGATCTGTTCGCCTCGCCGTTCTCGTTGCGGTTGTCGGCCAGGAGATGAGTGTTTTCGTTGTCATCGTTTGCACCACCCTTCGGAGACGTAGGTTCGTCGTCGTGATCCCTCATACCCGATCGGCCAGATCTCCACGACATTCGGTCGCCACTTGGAGCCATGGTGCCATATCCCACCGCTACGCTGTGTACGCCGTCGCTGGCTTCGCGACCTGCCGATGCTAGCAAGCCCTCGCCAATGCCACCCTCAGGTGCATGAGAATCCTGGGTTATTACACCCTCAGTCGGAGTTGCCTCGGTTGGAGCCTGGGAGTCTTCTGGTATCGTCTTGGGAATGTCAGGAGTCACGGCTGCCTGACCGGGCTTAATCTTGACAGTGTTGATACGCGTCTGCTTGGGCCTGGTCGCGACATTCGAAGGGCCGAGATGCTTCAGGTGCTGCATGACGGTCGGATCGTCACTGCGAAGAGGTGAGCCAGCTCCCTTGCTGCCGCTGCTACGGCGACGAAGGAGGAAAGAGGGCTTGGGGTGGCCTTCAGGCATTTCAGGTAGAGAGGTCTTGCGTGGCGCTGGCTTGCCATTTTGCTCCGCGTCTGTTTCGGAGTCTACAGCTTGTGCTTCGGAAGGTTTGCGGGGGACATCAGTGACGACTTTGCCTCGAGGAACGCGGGCGCGAGGGGCGGGGGCCATGCGTCGGATCGCTTTGTGTACGTCGATAAATACGTCGGACTCGTCGATAATTTCCCTGGTCTTGTTAGTACAAATTTGGTTTGCAGGCTACAGTACAATAGAAAGTCGCAAATAGGAAGATCCGGCGACAATGTAGGGAGAGTTTTTGAGGGTACACGACTTACTCTCCGATCAGTTCTTCGATGACATCCTCCAGAGTAACCACACCGACGGCACCGCGTGCCTCAGCGGGGAATTCAGAGACTAGCACCATGTGGGACTTGCCCTCCTGGAAGAAGTTGAGAATGTCAAGGCAGCTCGTTTCCGGGCGCGTCTCGGGTAGGGTGGCCAAAGCAAAGTCGCGAACGCGCAGAGCATCCTCGGGGTCGTACGTGATGAGCATCTTGACCAGAAGCATACCGACGAAGTTGTTCTCGTTCTCGGGAGTGTGGATGGGAATACGCGAGTAGCCAGCGGACAGGATGTTGTCCATCATCTTCTCGTCTAGGATAGTATCGGACGACATGGTGAAGACGTCCTTCATGGGCGTCATGATGTTGCCGACAGCCTTGGCCTTGAGGTCCAGCACAGCGGTAATGATGGTGACTTCGTCTTCGTTCAGGCGTTCGTGCTCGAGTCCGAGCGACTGGTGCAGGCTGACGAGTGTCTTCAAGCCACCCTTCTTGTAAACGGTACCGTGGTCTTCTCCGAGGAGGTAATCGAGGAGTTTGGCAGTCGGCCAGGCGACGATGCCCATGATGTACATGAGGCCGAGGACGATGGGTGCCATGATGGCGCCGATTGGCAGACCATAGCGCACACAGATGGACTGAGGGACGACTTCACCGAAGATGACTTGGGCTTGTTAGACGTAGACAGAGTGGCTGGGGGTGAATGCGCGTACCAATGAGGACGGTGGAGCTGACAACGGCAGGCCATCCTCCACCGAGGGACCTGTCCAGGACTATAGGAAGGGTTTCGTTGGTAATGACGTTACTCAGGAGTAGCGTTACCAGAACCCAGTGCTTGCCTCGCTCGAGCAGCTTCAGCACCTTGGCGGCGTTCTTGCGCTCGTGCTTCTCGCCAGATGAAGCAAGGACTTGGAGATAGATTTCGTCTTGGCCCATCAAGCTGAAGAGGACCTGTTAGCGCGTTGTGACACGATGGCGGGACCGCGATGTACTCACGCAATGGTCAGACCAGCAAACACACCACCGGCCAAGACAAGCGCGACGGCGATACCCAGTAGAAGCCAGCGCTCTCCATCGTTGTCCGTGGGGACCTCCTCTCCGGCAGTCTTGAAGGTCGCGTCGCCAAAAGGCATGGGCAACGCGGTCACCATGGGCGCGAAGGCGTGGAAGAGGCCAATGAAGGCGAGGCGAGCAGTCCGCATCGAGCCATTGGCGGCTGCGCGTGGACGAGGAGCGCTCATGGCCATGGGAAGCACCTCAGTGCGGAAAGATGAAGAGTGTCCGAGTCGGGGAGATGGACTGGCGAGAGAGGTGGATTCCAAGCTTTGTGGTGGGCGCGCAAATAATGATGCGGAAGCAGCGGTTTGGTGGGTCTGCGCACGGTCGGGATCTAGACGTATGATGCAGCCTCCCCAAGGCGACAAAGGCGCGTGCAGTCTTATTGTGTCAGACCTCAACCGTTTGTATACACCCCGGGGTAATTAACGACAGTCTGTCACTCCATCACACAATGACATTGGCCTCTGATCACACATGTGTGCGCGTCTTCGGTACAAGGGGCCGGCCACAAAGTTGACTCCGGGCGAGCTTCTTCCCGCTAGCCTGTATTGCTTTCCCCAGGCTCAAGACTAGGCGCCAAGTCCAACACGGTGCCGACTTCCTGCGATCATAGGTCATAGCTGTCTTGGTCACACGCTGCAGTAGATCCCAAAGCAACGACAATCGCAAGCCCTCTGTATCACAATCGCACAGTGATCTAGGAGATTTGTCGCAAAACATCGAAGTTTGGATGCGCTAGTCTCCACCTGCCGTGCGAACCATTCTGGCTCCAATCGTCATTATGCAGCGCCTCTGGTCTTGGCAAACCTCGAGTCACGTTACTTTCAGCCACATCACGTGCCTGCACCTTCCTCTCTCGGCGCTTGCCCGCTAAACTCCGCAACGTTTGAAACCTGGAGAGCCGCTGGTAGCCGCGGCATACACCCGCACAACCGTCGGCTCACACGTTTGTGCCCAGCATGACCTTATTGCATGTACCTTTTCTGGGGTTCTGGGGAAACTCGTTGCTCTCATTTCTATAGACATGGCTGCTAGAACACCATCAATCCGCGCATTGTCGCGCTACCTGCTTCGCCCGCAAGCACCTCTCCGGCCCCGCTGTCAACACCACCCTCAACGCAAACAATACTCCTCGGCAGCACCTGGCGCACGCCTCAATGGCACAGTGGAGTACGATGCAACGCCCATTCTCCACCACACCGCCAAATCCTCCCTCGCGAACCCGGAGTTCCCTGCGGACATACAAAAGGGTCAGACCAAGCGCATAAACCTCTATACCGCCGTCAACGAAGCACTACGATATGCTTTGCAAACAGATGAACGCGTCATGGTGTTTGGTGAAGATGTGCAGTTCGGTGGGGTCTTCCGGTGTACCATGAATCTTGCTGGAGACTTTGGCACAGAACGCGTCTTCAACACTCCCTTGAGCGAGCAGGGTCTGGTGGGATTTGCTATCGGAGCGGCTGCAGAGGGCATGAAGCCAGTAGCGGAAGTTCAGTTCGCCGATTACGTCTTCCCTGCGTTTGACCAAATACACAATGAGGCGGCCAAGTACAGATACCGGTCGGGGAGCACTGGCGTCAACTGCGGAGGACTAGTCATCCGCATGCCATCAGGCAGTGTTGGACATGGCGCATTGTATGACTCCAGCAGTTCTCCCTCTTGAAATCGACTGACACGTCACTAGATACCACACACAGTCCCCAGAAGCCCTCTTCACCCACACGCCCGGTCTACGCGTCGTAATACCCCGCTCGCCCGTCCAGGCCAAAGGCCTCCTCCTCTCCGCGATCCGCTGTCAAGACCCCGTCATATTCATGGAGCCCAAGATACTATACCGCGCTGCTGTCGAGCACGTACCCGTCGACGCGTTCTACCTCCCGCTTGACAAGGCTGAAGTCCTCAAGACTGGCAAGGACGTCACGATCGTTTCGTACGGCACACCGCTATACACATGCTCAGCTGCGATAGCAGCAGCAGAGAAGGACTTTGGATGCAGTGTGGAGCTGATAGATCTGCGGACGATATACCCCTGGGACCGAGAGACGGTTCTAGAAAGCGTGAAGAAGACTGGACGGGCGATTGTAGTACATGAGAGTATGATGAATGCTGGTGTTGGTGCTGAGGTCGCTGCTACGATTCAGGAGAAGGCTTTCCTCAGATTAGAGGCGCCCGTGAAGAGAGTGACGGGGTGGGCGACACATACTGGGCTCATGTTTGAGCAGTTCGTCATTCCCGATGTTACTAGTAAGTTGCGACGTATTGACATGTGGGTGCTCGCTTTTGCTGACGTTGACAGGGGTCTACGATGCGATCAAGAAGACTATAGACTATTGAATCAATCATCTTCGAGACGATGGCATGCAAAGCTGCGATGATTGAGACCCCCACTGACAGGCCCCTGCTAACCGAAGCACAACCATAAGTAATCACAATCGCATCGGCACGAGGTAAGCGCATACCAAAGAAGACACGCCTCTAATGTACCTAAATAGCCTACTGGCTTTTGACAGATGACAAACCCCCCTGGTTGGTCAGAATTGGAAGTCCGTTCCGTTGGCTCCTTCCTCGCCCGAGTGCAGCGGTAGGCGCCTGCTGTCAGACCTGGCTTGATGTCTTATTCGTTCAGATACCAATCTGCCTCATGCACCCTCGCTTCAGGCATAGCTGATGTTAATGAACTCTCAGCCTGAGCCCCGCAGCTTACTTTCGTCCTGCCCTCCCACAAATGTTCCTCTGGCATTCCCAAGACAATACCGGAAGACACCCAGGCTTCATCAGAGGCAACGCGAATTGAAGGTGTAATAACCAAGGCTTCTTATGCGCCTCGCCATCAGTCAAGCCGCCTCGACAGCCTCGCTGACTGGATTGCCGTGCTCAGCCTTGCGGCGTTTTTGGTTCGCGCGATAGCTCAACCGCAGCTGCCTGCCTTTATAACGCTCTCAGCGCGACTCTCCCATACTCCAGCTGTGCTTCGCTACTTTCTCACCCGTCACTACTTACGTCATGCCTCCCACCGTGACTACTTCCACCAGCAGCGGCACGCCAACAGCAATACCGATCATCGCCACGCCTACCCCCTCAAACGGTTTCAATGGCGAAGAGTTCATCAACAACCTCGGCAGCGATTTGGCGCCTCTCTTAACGCTATTCGGAGAGCAAGTCACGAAACAGTTTCTCAGCATGTCACTCGGATGGGCTGATCATATTTTGCTCGCTGTTGGCCCACTGGGAATCATCACCACGGTCGTTTCGGCAATCCGAGTTTCCAATGTCAGAGTTCTGAAAGCCATAATTGGACGGTAAGTGAGTTTCATCTTAGGCTAGTACTCTTACTAACCTAGGTCAAAAGAGCACGAGAAAAGCTAGCGACAGCAGAGCTAGAGCTACTCTCTTCGACGTCAGATGCCACTTCCGAACTCTGGACCGAGGAAGGAATCGTTCGTCAACCAGGTCATGCCACAATTCTCGAGTTGGTGGCCTATAGATGCAAATCCAGGGAGATGATCACAAACCAGGATGGGATCGACCTTGGACTCCCTGGTGAGATTCATATCGGCAATCTTAGTGAGGCATACAATGTGGGAGTTCTCAGGCCTTCCCCAGAAGGCCCTTCGACGAAGTTCAAAGACTTCATAGAGGGGTTTAAGCGGAAGTACTGGCCGGCTTCTCCGGTTCCAAACAAATCAAAGACTCTGAAGCATCTCGCTAGATTGCACACAGAGATTGTTATGAACAGCGCGGAAATTGCATCAAAGAAGGCAGAACTCTCTGAAATTGATTTAGCAGAAAGTCCTAGAAGCGGAGTACAGATCCCAACGGATAAGACGCTTCTTCTTTTTAAGATCGCTGAAAAGAATTCCATGGTTCGCGTTGCACAGCGTCTCGTCAGCAAACTTGCGATTCAGCCACCGAACCTCATACTCAATGTACACAACACACTCCCAAAGAGCAGAGAGCTATGGGTATTCGCCACTCTTGGACTTGCTCTGCAATTTGTTGCCGTAGCAATTCCCGCGATCACGACTTATCACTGGAAGAAACCGAAGGATTCAAAGCCTGTTCATGACTACGCATATCCAACTTTCCTTCTAGGAACATGCTTACTGGTCGTGAGCATAGCGCTATGCTCGTATGTCATTGAAGCAACTACTGTTGAGCAGGTGTTCACACCGACGGGCGATTATCTGGTGAAACGTATCTTCCGGTTGCAACTGCAACAAGACATGGGTGATCAGCCCTTCAAAGCATACGTCATCTTAAACGACGCCGAAGACAAGGAGATTCGCACTTCGAGATATGATCCAGAGGAGAAAGACGAACATGCACCAAACTCAAGAACCGAGACTCAGAAGTCTACAGTCATAGTTGCTGTTGCACTAAGCTTCACTGGGTTTGTCTGCCAATTTGTTGGGTTAAGAGCGCTACATTGGTCTGCAACAGTCACACAGCTTGGGATCACGCTGCTGATGACTTGTATTCGGGCCTGGATTCGCAGAGGGATATCGAACCAGCCAACGAATTTCCAGCTGGAATCCGATCCAAATTGGATTGCCCTCTCTATAGGCAGCTGTTGTCTCAGCTCATGGCCCAGTAAAGGTGATTCCTGGCTAAAGGAACCTTCTAGGAACCCTCTTTCTAGAAACTGCGCGTTTCTGCCATGTGGTTTGCTGGGTGATATGTCTAGTACGCCCAGCGCAGACCCCCTGAGCATCGGAGACCCTCGGATCGTGCTACGACGAAAGTTGCAATCTTTCTCATCTAAAGATGACGCTGATCTTGCTCCAATCTCCAATGCTCTCGGACGCGCCATTGGGGATTTGCACCGGACCTTCCGCTCATATTCTATAGATGGTACAGTCGAGTGGGTGCACATAGTTGAGAGTAGACTCAACGATTCCAGCGTCCGATACGGCCGTCTAAAGCTCATGACAACGACTGGGTACATGGATGAGAAAGCGTTGCATGCTATCCTAGCACTCTGGCGGTATGCAAAGCCTATGACAGGTAGGACGATATGTGTTGTGAAGGCATTCTCCGTGGAAGACTGGACAAAAAAGGTGGAATTCCTCGAGGCCTTGATCGACGCAAAAGCATCATACGCCTTCCCTCTGAACAATGGTCATAAAATAGTTTCACCAGTCGGAGAGGGTGAAGCTGAAGAGTGGGCATCACCAGTCAGAGAGGGTGAAGCTGAAGAGTGGGCAACCCAAAAAGACGACTGTGAATACACTGGGCTGAGTATCGAGAGTATGCTAGGTTTAACCAAGCCTCTCGCAGCCTATGCTGATCCTTTCCCTGGCTACCTAGCTGTTGATGTGGGTACACGAGCAGCCCACTTTGCTTTCGAATTGCTTGCAGGTTTCATGGATGCACTGTGGGAAAAGCTAGATCTGAGATACCATGACGAAGCCGGAAACTGGTCTGCGAAATGGTCCGAGCGCAGGATACCGCTGGAAGTGGATGGGATCGTGGACATTCTCATGGACAGTAAGCTAGTGAGTAACCACACAGATGCCAAGATTTTGGTCTTTTCATCGCTTGCGCGATGCACAGTATGGAAAGACTCATCGAAACCAGACGAGTCTACCCCCACGGCAGATCGACAATCCGAAATGGCCCCACCAACGGGTTCAGATACTCAAGACAAGAGCCCGCACGAAGAACGAGCGTGACCCAGCGCACCTGAAACAGCGCAAGCAGATGAATGTTCCCAAATCGACATGGCAATCACAAACAATTCCATACACCAGCCCGCTGCCTCGGAAAGCTAATTTATCTCTATGCTAGAATACCATCACTCGATGCTTCTGTGACCATACAACCCTGGGACGATACCCAGGCGAATACGCAACAACTTCGAGTGCTCCCAAATCTGGTAATGCTCGGTTTCAAGCCTGCAAACGAGCAGCTGGGCCAATTTTCGAGCTCCGAAGTACGTTCTTTCGTTTTGAAAAGCAGATTTGCAACTCGTCTACTATGCTTGCAGCTCGCAGTGATATGTGATCTCCTCAGATCTCGCTTCACTAGCGGCGGGAGTGCCTGGCGCTAGAATCCACCAAGCTGGCTGAATGCAAACGTCATGACTTTGAACGCCGCATGATGTCCGCGAGATGGCCGCGTGGACGTCACAGCTGTCATAGCTCCAGATTTCTTTTGGCAGAGCTTGGGTGAACCGCACAATCCAGCCCTGGTCATTTCAAACTTCATTCTTTGAAAATCCGCGATCTCAATTTACCCCTCATCCTCACACAAACCTCAATTCATACAAAATGGCTAGCAGGACCTTCACACCAACGCTCCGCAATGTGGTTCGCGTCTCTCAGCGGAATGGCATGATGGTACCATGCCGTCGCTTCTTGAACACGGAGACGGCACCGAAGCTTTACTCAGCGAAAGCGCACGTTGTTGGTGCACGCACAGGGTACGATGAACTATTCCATTGAACACACGAGGAAACAAACTGACACATCTCCAGACATGTAGACGGCGAGAACCTGAAGGTCGACCTAACAATGGCCAAAGCCCTCGGCGGCCCCGGCGACGCCGGAAAGACCAACCCCGAAGAACTCTTTGCAGCCGGCTACGGTGCATGCTGTACGTCTCCATCCCCTCCCCCATCCCATACCAGTCCTCCAAAACACCCAAACTAACCCACGCAGTCCAATCCGCCATGAACGCCGTCGCCCCCTCCCTCGGCGTCAAGATGCCCTCCACCCCCGAAGACTCGATCGTCGAATCCACCGTCGAACTCGTCGGCAGCATGAAAGACTTAGACATGGGTCTGCGCGTCCAGCTTCTCGTCAAGGTACGCGGGTTGGCGAAGGAGGATCTGGAGAAGGTTGTGTATAAGGCGAGGCAGGTTTGCCCGTATAGTCGGGCGACGAAGGATAATGTTTATACGACTGTTAGGTGTGAGACTATGTAAGGTGTGTCGCTGAGGAGGAAGGCATGGGATGGGATGTAGATATGGAGATGATGAAAGACGAATGAACGAGTGAATTATGGTTTCAAAGACGAGTTTCCTGAGAGCTTTCCACAATAGCAGCCAACACTCCCTCAGCCACGTCCTCCCCATCCTCCGCTTCGGTAACCCACGTTACACGCCCACTCCGTGGACTGCGTACTTCTAGCTCCATTTTCATCTGCTGCACCACGCAAACCACGTCTCCTTCTTTCACCACATCGCCCTCGTCAACTAACACTTCTACCAGTTTTCCCGGGAATGGGATACTGATGTGTGAAGGATCACTCGGGTTCCCTCGTCTATGATGTGACGTTGCGGCTGATGCGCTGGCGGACGTTGAAGAAAGGGTTATGGTGTAGGGTGTTGTTTGGGGCATGGTAGACGAAGCTGTTGAGGGCGTAGTGAAGGAGAGTTCTGCGCTGAGGGACGTGGGGAAGTCGTTGCGCAGGACGCGGGTTAGTTCGAGGTGGTGGGGTGGTGGTTTCTCGTTCGCTTTTGTGGTTGGAGTAGAGATCGAAACGGACCAAGCGTCACCTTTTCGGAAGAGGGTGTTGGCTGTTGAGACTGAAGCTGTTGAGGAGGATGGCGCGATGTCTGAGTTCAACGTTTCTGAACGCAATGAAGCGATGTCTTGGCTTGATTGGAGCAGCTCGGTTTGTTTGCTTTCTAGCCATTGCGTGTCGCATTGTCCGTTTAGAAAGTCTGGGTGAGCGACGATGGCTTTCAACATGTCGAGGTTTGTCTTTACTCCTGCGATCTGCGTATCATCCAACGCTCGTTGTGCTTTTCGAACGGTGTCCTTCCACGATGACGCCGTTACAACGACCTTTGCGATCAGACTGTCGAAATCTGCAGATACTACGGCGGGTCGACCGCTGGTGAGATGCGTGTCAACCCGAATGCCGTTTCCGGAAGGGAACTGAGAAGAGGTGATCTTGCCAATCGATAATGACCAATCAGTCTGAACATTCTCCGCTGTAATACGTAGTTGAACTGAATGCGCTGGAGGAGGCATTTCCGGATCTCGTTCCGCTGTTGGTAGACCGCAGTCATTCAGAGATGCACCCTGGGAGAGTAGTAGCTGTGCCTTGACGATATCAGTCATAGAGATGGACTCCGTGATCGTGTGCTCGACTTGTAAGCGAGGGTTGACCTCCAAAAAGTAGTACTCTTTCGTTGATGGATTCACGAGAAACTCAAAGGTGCCGAGAGAGAAATATTGTATCTACGCATATATTAGCGAGACAGAATGGCCATCAACATTAGTACCTACATGTTTCGCCATTTTCAAAGCATTTTCGATGACCTTCGCGATCAGCTTCCGGTCAGGCACAACGCTGGGCGCAAGCTCAACAATCTTCTGATATCTTCTCTGAATGCTGCATTCGCGTTCCCAGAGATGCGTTACGTTTCCGGTACCGTCCCCGATGGTCTGTACTTCGACATGCCGGAAGCCATCGACTGCAGCCTTCTCTGCAAAGACTTGCTTGGATGGGCTTTCTTCGACTGCTCTTTTCACTAAAGAAGCAAGCTGGTCTTGGCTGCGAATGAGACGTATTCCGCGGCCGCCGCCTCCGTCTACTGCTTTGACCATGATTGGGAAGCCGACTTCCGATGCGAAGCGTTGGACGTCTTCGACTCTGTTAGTTGGTTGCTGGAGTGCTGGAGATACTGGGACGTCGCCTGATCCACGTGTCAGTAATCTCGCGACTCTAACGCGCCTTTTCTCTTACATTGTTGAGCAAGCTCTCTCGCTTTTAGCTTATCTCCAGTATTTCCCAAGATACCCCATCCAGGACCGACAACTACGGCGCCAGTTTCTTCCCAGACTCTCTTTGAGAAGTCTTCGGACTCTGACAGAAAGCCATATCCTGGATGTACAGCATCGATTTGGTGCTTTTTGATGATGCCGACAAGATCATCAATACTCATGAAGGATGAAGCTGATGATAGCTTGATCGCATGGCTTGCTCGGACGGCATGCGAGTCGTCGCCTGATACGTAGATTGCGAACGTCTCAATGTCGAGTTCTCGCGCTGAAGAGATAATTCGTGCTGCTATCTCTCCCCTACAGACAATTAATTACGCTCCCCGGAATGTTACTTGACTACTAACCTATTCGCGATGAGAAGTCGCTTGATGGGTCTTTGTGGAGGTCGCGTCATATTGGAGTCCAGCCAGCAATATGGATCGGTCAAGCAGTACATTCGTGGATATACCTGGGTACCTATGCCACTATACCATCAGTGGAATGACTCGAGTGGACGAGTCGTTGGGTTAGGTAAGGCGAGATTACGTTGTCCGTCGTCAAGGAGGCTTTTTGAGAGCTGGAATGCGATTTGGATCGAATGTTAAAGCAGGACGCTTGTTGAACAATCGATTCATCCACAATGACATGGTCGCGTTCTGGTGGAGTGCGATGGAGGAGGGCAAGCGCGGGGAGCTTGAAGATGCCTCGGTTCCCCAGCTCTACCCCAACATTCCACCACGACCATCCCAACTTGGTCCGCATCATCGAGATGTGACGATTTCGTTGTCGCTCCATCACTGGAGCTCGAAAACAACCTTAATTATACTTCATCAACAGTCATGGCTGGTGACGAGCCAAAGCCCTCGCCCAACGACGCGTCGACGTCATCCGAAACCGCCAAAGACCGACTCGCGCAGGTCAGCTCCCACATCGCGCCCAACACACCAAAGCGACGACGACGAAAGGGTGCAGACTCAGATCTGCCCGCTGATTACTCAGACATCCTTGGGCAGATCGCAACTCTGCGCAAAAGTGCCGCGACGCCAGACAAGAACAATAGGGGCTACGTGAGGCAGAAGCAAGCAGGGAAGCTATGGGTTCGCGAACGTGTCGAGCAGTTGCTCGATCCCGGGAGCTTCCAGGAGGTGGGCAGCGTGAGTGGGACAGTCAAGTGGAAGCAGTTAGGGCCGGTGAAAGAAGAACCGGAAGACTACGTGCCTTCGAACAACGTGCAGGGTATGTACTATGGACTGCATTGGGAACATGTACTGACGGCGGGTAGGCTTCGGACGATTACGAGGTCGAAAGATTGTCTTCACGGCCGATGACTTCTCCATACGCGCTGGACACGCTGATGGCGCGCTTATGGAGAAGACCGTGAGTTCGATCCACTGCATCGATCCGTGCTGGTACTGACGATTGCAGATATACATGGAGAAGCTCGCAATCGCGTTGAAGCTTCCCATCGTCAAACTCGTCGATGGCTCATCAGGCGGCGGTTCCGTCACGACCATTCGCTCCACAGGCTTCTCCTACGTCCCTCCGCTACCCTCCTTCGCACAAGTCGTACAACAGGTCAACCTAGGAATACCGAATCTGGGCGCGGTTTGTGGACCGGCGATTGGTCTAGGAGCAGCTCGTGTGGTGGCCTGCCACTTCTCGGTCATGGCTGCAGATATCGGATCTTTGTTCAACGCCGGTCCCAGTGTTGTGAAGAGCGCGACATTCGAGGAGGGTCTTTCCTTTACAGATCTTGGTGGGCCCGCAATGCATTGCACCAATGGCACAATCGATAACCTCGCGCCGGACGAGGCAGGCTGCTTTGAACAGATACGCATGGTTTTGAGCTACCTGCCCGACTGCGGTACGAAGCTGCCTCCAGCAATCGACTGCTCTGATCCAATCGACCGAATGTCAGAAAACCTCCGATCAATCATACCGCGTTCCAAGAACCGCATGTACAACCCGCGGGCCATCATCACCGAAGTTGTCGACCAAGGCTCGTTCTTCGAGATTGGAGCCCTTTGGGGTACTACGGCCATAGTAGGCCTTGCGCGTTTCGCAGGCAAACCGGTCGGCATAGTCTCTCTCAACTGCGAGCAGAATGCTGGCGCACTTGATGCATTGGGTTCGCAGAAGATTACACGCATGCTAAAGTTCCTTGACGTATTCAACCTCCCGCTCGTCCAATTCGTCGACGTCCCAGGCTACGCGATAGGAACCGTTGCAGAGCGCACTGCAACGATGCGGCACGGTGTCACTCTCGCTACGACCTATTACAGCACAACCATGCCCATCTTCAACGTCATCGTGCGACGCGTCTACGGCGTAGCAGGAGGCATCATGCTGGACTGCCGTGACCCACGCATGCGCGTTGCTTGGCCGTCCGGCGTGTGGGGCTCCTTACCACTCGAGGGTGGCATTGAAGTTGGACATTCGTTTGAACTCAAGGAGATTGAGAGGAAAGAAGGAAGAGAAGCGCGAGACAGGCGTTATACCGAGCTGGAGAACGAGTACAAACGACTCATGAACCCAGTTCGTACTGCGAACGCGTTTGGTATCGAGGAGATTATCGATCCGGCATATACACGGCGAGTTTGTTGTGAGTGGACAGATCACATGTATGAAAGCTTACTGCCAGAGCGCATTTTGGAGAGGATCGCAGGAAAGTTGCAGCCTTCCTTCGCGTAGTCGCTTTGTTTTCGAATACAGTCTTTCAGTCACCGGTCAACTACACTGCGTTGGTGCAACTGCAGGTCAGAAGCGGCGCTGCCTCTGTCATACGTTCGCAACATCTGGAGTAGTCCGTCAGACACCATCGCTTACTTACACCGCATCGCTTACCATAAGACATACCGCGCACGGCCCACTGTTGTCCATCTTCCGCAATCGGCTCATTATATCCTGCTTGTATATCCAATGCCATGGAGCCGAAAGTTCGTCCTCCGGATGCGGTGCCGTGCTGACCATTCTGGAACAGGCTGGCCGTCACATTGGTATCGCTAATCAAGTTCTTACTGGGCACTTTACCCCTCTTGGCATGTCCTCTGATTGAGGATACTTACATCGAGTATGAGATGTCATCGTGTATCATGCGCACGTCGTTTGGCTCCGACTTACAGATTTCTTTGTCGCATAGCGCCGAACAAACATAACGTAGATGCGTGTGTGTTTCATGCCCACAGTCATACGAACAGCGACACAAAAGCGAATCTGCGTGGCGTACTACTCTATCCGCGTACCACAACTTTAAGGACGATCCTTGATTCGTTACTGGACCTCGTATATGACCACCAACATCGCCCGGGTGCGGGGCAAAGGTCAATGCACCCTACCCCAGCACAACTCTACCCTTCCAGTTTCGCTTTCTCACCTGCATGCAGTTTGATGATACGAGCCATGATGCGCCGCACAAATCTGGGGTATATAGAACTAACGGGCATGTCCGCACGCCCCTGGCGCCCATCACTGCTAGCCGCCACTGCTTCGTTTATCTGTCTAGTGACATTCCTTCGACTTCTGCTGAAACTGCAGTCTGAAGTGTGATACCAAAGATGGCGCCTGTTGGCGCTGCGGCGGCTGCGAGGCAGGCGGAACCGATTTTGACGCGCATTGTTGATCAGGACCAGATACCTTGGTACAGAAAGCGGAATCTGAGGAGGCTGTATGCACTCTTGCTGCCGACGTGTATTGGGATTGAGATGACTTCCGGATTTGATTCGCAGATGATCAACGCAGTACAAATCGCGCCAACATGGCGGCTCTGTAAGTCGAGGTTTCGGCCACAAAATGCCGTTGCTGACAACGTAGACTTCAATAACCCACAAGGAGCGCTTCTCGGTATCATGTCTTCAGCATACAACCTAGGCGCAATCTGCGCTCTTCCACTAGTGCCGTACGTGAACGATAGATTTGGCCGACGATGGGCAATCTTCTTAGGCTCTTGGATCATGGTCGTAGGATCTGTAGTACAAGCCTTCTCCATTAGCGGTAGGACTGAACGTTCAATCATCAGATGGAGTTTATACTAACACGTTGTAGCTGGCATGTACGTCGGCGCGCGCTTCATCCTCGGTTTCGGCATACCCTTCTGCATCATCGCAGGTTCATCACTCATGGGCGAGCTTGCATATCCAAAGGAACGACCCATTATGACATCCCTCTTCAACGCACTCTGGTTCGTAGGCTCGCTCATAGCAGCAGGAGTCTCATACGGCACCCAAAGCCTAAAAGACGACTGGGCCTGGCGCATACCTTCGCTACTCCAAGCCGGCCCATCACTACTCCAAATCGTGTTCATCTTGTAACTACCTCGTCCCACCGCTTCCAACATTCCACCAAGCTAACCTCCCCAGCATGATCCCCGAATCCCCACGCTTCCTCATCTCCAAAGACCGCCGCGAAGAAGCCTACGCCACACTAATAACCTACCACGCCGAAGGCGCCACAACCTCGCCCTTCGCCGCCGCAGAAATGGCCCAAATCGAACACACGATCCGCATCGAACTCGAACACTCAAAACGCTCCTGGCGCGAAATGATCGCCGTCCCCGGTCTACGCAAGCGCGTGATAATCGGTTCTTTCCTCGGCCTCTTCACGCAGTGGTCTGGAAACACACTACTGAGCTACTACCTAAACCAGCTGCTCAACATGATCGGGTACGACGACCCTGGCTTTGTCGGGAAAGTGAATGTCGGGCTCAATAGCTGGAATCTGGTCAATGCTGTGTGTATCTCACTGCTGGTCCGACGGTTCCCGCGAAGGAAGATGTATCTCATCTGCGCGAGTAGTCTCTTGTGTTGTTATGTCGCGTGGACGGTGGCGATGCAGCGGTATACGGCTACGAAGAGGATTGAGCCGGCGAGGCTGACGATTGCGATAATCTTTCTATATCAGATGTGTTATAATATTGGGTATAATGCGTTGACATACAGTAAGTCGGTGCGAGCGTGTTTGATGGAGAAAAGGATGCTAATGGAGTTCCAGCGTTTTTGGTCGAGTTGTTCCCATTTGCGCAGCGCACGAAGGGGATCACTATCTTCCAGTTCTTTAGCCGGACAGCGGTTTTCACGACGACCATACTTAATCCTATTGGGTTGAAGCATGTTCAGGGAAAGTGGCTGATCATGTATTGCGCTTGGCTGGGGTTTGAGATTATCTTCATCGTAAGTTACCTTCCCATCCCTAGTCTACGATGCCCAAATGCAGTCCATCCCCTAATACATCCACACAGTACTTCATGTTCCCCGAAACCTACGGTCGCACCTTGGAAGAACTCGCGTTCCTGTTCGAAGACCACGCGCTTGCTGATGAAGCGACGACGCATGTGGAAAAGCAGATGGAGTGGGCTGATAGGCGATGGAGCCGGATTGATGAGCGTATGAGTTGGGAGATGGATGTTGTTGTACCGAAGAA